TTCTAAAAGCAACTTAGGGGAAAACTCTGTAATTAGACAATTGTGTAGACCTTGGCTGGGTCTATCCTAGGATCACTGACTGCCTCAGTGCTATTGATTCTAGTTGGCCTTGTTGAAAAAGATGACATGTAACATGCCCAGCAAAGATTTGCCAGGAAAACTAAAAGAGGGGAAAAAATGTAGCAGAAGATGCCACCCACCCCATCACTCCCAGCTACACTTCAGTTTGTTAGTTGCCAGCTAATAGTTCTGGTCACAGTTTCTGTTACTTTTGTCTCATAGGAATGATGTCACTGTGATGCATAGCTGGTCATTATGCTACACATTGTAAAAACCAATCCCTAATTGACAAGCCATTCTGCCTGTGTTTTCCCTGCTTGCTTATCTCATATAAGCCCTAGACCACCAGAGATCAGGGCCTGATATTTTGGATATGATCCTAAGCAGTGCCTGTCCATGCAAATAAATCTGCCTCCAAATCCTGGATGTTGTTTTGGTGTTTCTGTTTGCTATAGCAAAGGCAGGCTGAGTCAGGTGCTCAGGGCTCCTGTGCTACTCAAGGCAAGAGCCCCCTGGCTGCCTGGATGTTAAACTGACTCCAAGTGTTTGTCTTTCATCATCATCTGTCCCTGGGTTTGGGTGACAAACTAGCAGGACTCAGTCTGTACAAGTGGTGTCGGACAGGAAAAAACCAAAGAGGGCTGGTTTCCCATGGGTGATGTCTGGCAGGGACCCTTCATAGATCAGTCTTGCTAGAGATCATTGCATAGGATGTGGGAGTTCTTAATAGTAAGAGAAGCACTCAACAGACAAAAGGAGTAGATGGCATGTTTGAGTTTAGGTAACATTTCTTTACACGTGTCATTAAATTCTTTTTCATTTGATTTGTTTGTACATTATCTCTCACTATGAAGCTGAAGTTCCTGATTACGGGATCAAGTGTGGACGAGTTTTGGGACAGCAGGTATTCTAGGACAGCCTCTCAAACAGCAATGTGCATGCCAATTAGCCTATTTAAATAGGGTTCTCATTCAGCAGGACTAGGACAAGATCTGGGCTTTTGCATTTTACAAACTGGTATTAACAAAATACTACAGAGGTGTCCTAAAAACATGAATGTATTGTCTCCTGGTAGTAGAAGATTGAGGTTGCTTCTGGCGAGGTCTCCTCCTGGTGGCAGATGGGCCTCCTTCTCTCTTTCCCACAAGGTCATTCTGCTGTGTGAGTGAGGTAAAAGAGCCCCCCAGCATGTCTCTTCCTCTTCCTAAGACATGGCCCCTTAAAGACCTTGTCTTCAAATACAGTTACATTAGGTGTTATGGTTTTAACATATGAATGATTCTTGTAGGAGAGGAGGACATTACTCAGCTATAATTTAGTCCACTCTCACATGGCCAGCAGTGTGATCACAGTGAGGCAGAGCCTATAGCTTCAAGGAAGCAAGACCCAGTCAGAGCTGAGGATCAGAAGAACCAATTCCTTATAGTGCATTCTCTTAAGACTTTCTGGATATTGCAGTTTGAGTAGGTCTTCATGACTAGTAAGACAAAAAATGCCTCTAACTTGATAATTAGTAGTTGCTCAGTTATTTTCAAATTGGCTTAAAGTTTTATCCTATAATACCTTTTCTTGAATTCTGAGACAGCATCTTCTACAGCTCCAACCCTGCTGGGGTAAGTTTAATAGTAAAGCTGCCACCCTGCAAAGAGGGCTGGTGCTCACTGCTGGGTTTTACATTAAGCATGATACTTAATTGGCAGCATAGGAAGTAGGGTCAGAGACTGCAAATCTGTTACATTGTCACAGGACACCATTTCAGTTGCTCAGGAAATGGTTGCAGGCCTGTTCTCAGATAAATTGTGCCCTTCCAAATTCATATGTTGAAGCCTACCCTCAAATGTGACTGTATTTGGACTGAAAAAGTGTTTAAAGTAAACTGAGGTCATTTTAGAGTGGGGGACTTAACCCACTCTGACTGGTGCTCTGACAAGAAGACACGCCAGGTATGTGCAATCACACAGACAAGGTCATGTGGGGATCAAGAGATAGAGGGCAGGCTCAGGAGAAGCCAAATCTGCCAACACCTTAATCTTTCAGTCTCCAAAACTGTGAGAAAGTAAACTGCTATTGTTTAAATCATACAGTCTCTGCTATTTTGTGATGCAGCCCTAGCAGAAAATGCAAGACCTAACAGCTAGATTCTATTGTATTTAGTGCAATTTGCATTCAATCACTCAACAAATACACACTGGCACACTCCTGGAGTTGTGTCATTACTTGCAGGTATAAACACACCATAGTCCCCAGACTAATCTACTGGTTTAAACAGACCCATAAGAGACCTGGGCAGTCGAATTGGGTTGGATGTGTGAAGCCTGGTAAATGTGGGAACCTGCAGAGCCAATAACTCAGTCCTGCCAGTAGTTAAATGCGTAGTGAGGATAAGGGTGGAGGGTCACTGGATTAGACAATGTCAGGACTTGGAAGCCACGTTATGTCGTTTTGCAGTGTTGGAGCTCAAACCTACGACCTTGCATACGCTAGGCAAGAACTCTACCACTAAGCTGCCAAGTTGCTTGGAGGCCAAACTGTAGAGTGATAGTTTTCAGGTTGAATGAAGTAATGAGATCTGAATTTTAAAAAGGAATGTACTATTTATAATGTGGAGAAGGATTAGAGAGGGTAACAGGGCTAGAAGCATTTTTTTCTATCTATTTCATAGTTGAAAAATAGTTTAGTCCTTTCAGCCAAACGTCATATAAAATACAGTCATTTTGGTGAGTAGAAAGCCTGATTCAATTAATGTAACTAATTAAAAAGGTTTAAACTGTTTTCCAATTGTTTCACTTACAATTTAAGCTGAAACTTTGCTTGTTAAAAGCCTTCGCTCACTTCCTTTTGTGCCAACGTGACTTTCCACTTCCATACCCAATCCCTGCAGCTTGGCTTTCTTCTTAACACTCTCTTGTAATTTTCTTTCCACTTGCAAATCTCCCTTGTTGGACTTGCCTATTCTAGGCTGCAGTTGCTTGTGGTCAGAGGTCCTGGGTACCTGTAGCACCTGTACAGTGCTAGCCACTTACTAGGTAGGGAAGGGGTAAGTAGGAGGGCACAGGGGAGCCCTCTTGTGGTGAGCAAGAGTAAACCCACACACTTGGTCACTGTCATTGATCCCAAGCAACAAGATCCTTTATTGCATTACAGGGATGAACCAAAGAAAAGGGAGATAACACATGGGCAGACATGTTGAGCCTTTGGAGAACGGAGGCTGTATAAATTCAAGTCTTTCTTTCATTTAAGAAAGGCAAATGACTCCATATTGTCCTTTTATCATACCTTTTTTTTTGTTTTAAGAATCTGGATCACGGCTGGTCCGATGGCAGTGGGTTATCAGAACTTATTAACATTAGTGTCACTAAAGTTGGTATACCACCCCCCCCCTGCTAAATTTGACTGGCTAAAAAAAAAAATCTGGATCACGATTCATTACGAAATAAGCACAAGACTTTTGGGTAAACTGGGTCCCTGGTATGCTGCCTATAGCCCAGTGATGTGTACCCTGCCTAAACCCTTTAACTTGTCTTTTGCTGTAAAATTGGAAGGACACTGGAGTCCTTTTTGCTGCCCACCTAAGGACATTTGCCCAACAAAAAGTGCCAGAAGGGTGCTGGGTCCAGCAAGATGGCATAAAGAAAACCTCACCCAGCTCTCAAAGTGTCTGCATGTCAGACTGTGCATGCTGCGAAGCCACAGGCCTATAGCACTGTGGAAGAAAGAAGTCTTGCTGGCAAGGTATATAAAATTTATTTCCAGGCACACATGAAAGATATGGGGAAGAGCTCTTACATGCTCTTTATTTGGATTTTATGTGGTCAGTTGGGTCCCATCCTCCAACGAAAAGCCAAATATTTTTTAGGTGTGTTGGCACTTTTAGGGCTTTTATAACACTGTTTTTTCTAGCACCAATAGAAAGGCGGTAGAGTAGGTCAGAGAGAAGTACTTGACTATGAGACTTTCTCAGCTGAAGTTATTTCACCATTAAGAAGCAGCACAGAAAAATGGGCTTTGTATATGGGAGAGGCAGCACAGGCGAGGGGAAAATGTGCACTCTGCAGAGAAAGACCGGGCTTGAGTCTCAGACATTCCCTTCTCAATAACCGTGGGGTACTCATCTGGGTCTGTCTGGCCTTCTTCCACAATCCGTGGGAAATTGAAGCTACTAAATCTAAAGGATTTTCAGATGCTTATCACAGTGTTTTAATCACAGATTTGTCCCTATACCCAAGAACTCTTCAAGCCTTTTTCTTGTTGTTATGAGAATGTTGGTCCATAGGCTGGAGTCACTATTCAGTTTGGTTGTTGTCTCTGAAAACCCAAGCTGAAATGTCCACTGTAACGACATTTATGGCTGTGTAACTTGGGTAGCCAGGGTTCCTCTCCTCGGAGAGATTCAGTAAACTTTGGTCCATCCCATCCATGACACGGGCAGGGTCCGGAAGTGGGGGCGACAGTGAAGGCTTCAGGGGTGGGGTCTGCAGGGGGAGCTCGTCCCTGGGGGACTGGGCTGCCTCCCCTCGGCTGGCCTCCTTACTTTCTCTTAATTTCTCTTCATTTTTCTTTTCTCAGGCAGCATATTGAAACAAATTTTGTGACCTATGTAGACCATGCTATCCACATCGGGCTCAGCCTCCTCTCAAATATTTTCCCTTCAAAAGCAACCTTCCCTTCCCAGGAGGAATTCTGGGCAGTGGATTTTCTCCAGCTCGGTCACCCTGGTTTTGGGAATCCATCCAAGCCTGGGGGCTCAGTGCCCGAGGCTAACGCCAGGGTGACTTCAATAAACCTGCCGGGATTAGTGAACAGCTGAGATGACGATTTTGACACCTTTGGCCTACATTTGCTGTTTTCATTAAAACTAGGACGGGTGGCTTTCCTTCGTTATAGTTGTTATTTTAGTTTTTTTCAGGCATTCTCTTTTTTTTCGCCCATTCTCTTCCCAGTTTCTCCGGTTTTCTGCGGAAATGACCATCTGGCAGGACTTCCCACACATGACCACTAGAGGGCACAGGATTTCCAGCTCTTGAAGTTTGTGCCACAGCCAATTCCTGGGGCTTTGCTACATAAAAGGACAGTTTTTGTTTGTTTGCTTGTTTGTTTCCCCCCAGAAACGGGGAGAAAGCACTTGAAATTCCCTGGGTGCAGCAAAGACATTTTCTACAGCATTCATCTGTGAAATGCTGGCTGCAAGCGGCAGACTTTCTGGCGGCTGGAGGAAGGACTGTGTTCTCCGTTCCCGACTCTGATTTTCACCAAGGGGAAAAGAGCTGCAGAATGCTGTACAAATGAGTTTGGCTCTAAGATTCTCAAAGAGAATGTATTTGAAGACATGTGTGTCTAGCCAGGCCTTACAGTATAGAGGAAATAATGTGCATGAGAATGAGAGGCCTGGATGCCAGGATGGTCGCAGGGTGGGCAGAAGGGGCCCCTCCAAGTCCATCCTGGAGAGACCTCCCTGCGTGGGCCTGCCCTCAGGAGGGGTGCAGTGTAGGTACTATATCCTACTCAGGCAGTTGAAAAATCAAGAAGGGTAAATAAACAGGAATATGAGTTAAAAGTTAGGACTGATCAGGGTAAGGTCAAAATTAGAATGCTTACCATTTAAGCTAGCAGGGGCTGGAGATTTAGCTCAGTGGCGTAAGTGCCTGCCTGGCAAGTATGAGGTTGTGAGTTCAATCCCTGACACACATACACACACAAAAACTCCCCAAAAAACCTCACCTGTAACTTTTAAACTTGCAGGCAAAAATTCAACAGGAAGTGGAAATGAAAGAAAGAAAGAAAAAATGCTGAATTTTGAATGAAAAAGCTGAACTAAGACACTCACACAAGTGCCCCTAAAACACTCCTCATAAAAATTAAATAATCCTTAGCAACCACACTTAGTAATTCTGTGGTTTTGAATAAGATGGACAGTACCATCTTTTCTGAGCTTCCTCATCTCTAAAATGGGTACAATTTCTATGGCCATGAGTTTGCTGGGAAGAGTTCACACTATGATGTGCATAAGTGTCCCTGTGCTGGGCTGTGGTAGGTGCCCAAGCATCTAACTCTTGTCTGTCTTTTCCTTCCTTACTATCTGAAGGCAAACTTTCAAATATATTTCCTGAGCGCCTGTATCCACTAAGTGCAGCCAGAAAAAAAAAAAAAATGACTTTACATACGAATAATCAGGAAAACAATATCATCACTAACAAGGTGACAACACTGTCATTTTGAAGGACCTAGAGAAGAGGTATCTCGCTAAAGAATCTAGTGGTAGGGCAGTGCCAGGCTTGGTTAAGGCAGCGTTTCAGCAAAGTCATCACAGGCTACTCCATCGGGCTTTGCCAGTTCAGCAGGTTGCAGTGTGGTGTGACTCTGTCATCATGGTTACAGGATGGCACTTGTTCCACTCCCCGAGGGACAGGCACAGGTTTTTTCTTCTCCTGCAACTCCAGGAGACTGTCCTGGAACTGTCCCAGAAGTCCCCACAGTTGGCCATCCTTGTCTCACTGATGAGCAGGGGGTCATGCTGCTCATCCCTAAATCAGCCCCTGTGAAGGTGACACGGCTTCCATGACACGATGCACCAGTCATAGTCACCGGAAGATGACTGCCTTTTAGTCTGCTGGAGTTGTCATGTGCCAAGCAGGGACAGCTGCAGGGCTGGAACTCCCACCTGGCAGTCAGGCAAGGCCACCTTGAGGAGGGGTTATTCAGCTGAGACCTGAAGCATCAAGTAGGAGTTTGCCAGCTGGATGGGGAGGGGAGCAGCACAGGAGCATTAGTGAAGTCTGGGGTGAGTGTGATTATGATCCAGGTAACTTACAGGAGTTCACTTTAGGAGGTGAGGCCAGGAGGGTCAGCAGGGGCCAGTCATGCTGGCCTTAGAAACCATGTTGGAATTCTTCTGTGCCAGCAATGGGTCAGGAAGTTTAGGGAAATGTTCTTTAAAATATTGGGGTAGGTGGGCCTGCTGGAACACACTTGTAATCTCGGCACTCCAGGAGGCTGAAGCAGGACCATCTCACGTATGACTGGGGTAACTTGGTCACTTAGTGGGACCCTATCTAAAAGAAAAATGTATGTGTGTGGGTGAAATCAATATAGTGATTAATCTAAATCAACATAATGTTTGTAAAATCAATAGAAAAATAAGGGAATAGCAGCAAATTCTTCAGTGGTAACCACTATACCCAAGGCATTGCTTTGAGAACCTTTGTGTCCAGGTTTATGTCTTATTTTGTACCCTCTGAGCTTTATAAGCTGATATAACTGTTAGCCCCATTTTGCAGATGAGGCAATGAAAGCACTTGCCCACTTTCTCTTTTATGGGTAGAATTATGTCCCTCTAAAAATGGTGTTGAAATCCTTCCCCTCCATCCCTCAGCGTGTGATCTTACATGGGGCAGGCTTGTTGCAGATGGAGTTAGTTGAGACAAGATCTTGCTGCAGCAGGGGAGAACCAGGCTTATTAGACTGATGTCCTTAAAAGAAGACACACCTGGGAGAATACAGAGACAGAGACTGGAGGGATGCAGGTATGAACCAAGGAGCATCCATGGTCACCTAGGACTGACAGCCCGCAGGTGCCTGAGGAATGTTTGGTAAGTGAATACTGTAGACATAGAGGGAGGTTATAAACGGAATTTAGTCAGATGGCGGTTATTTTAATGTTCTTGTTCCCCCACCTGCTCCTACCGCTGCCCGAAGAATCACTTCCCCCAGGAGACATCCCCCCGTGTCCTTCCACCCCTGTGACTCAGTTCCATTTCTACACCCCTGCCCATTACAGGTCAGAGGAAAAGAAGGTTGCTGCTAAGTAGTGTGGCCCCAGCTGAGTTGTCTGCCCTTAAACAACGAGCTAAGCCGTGAGTCAGCTGCTGGGTGTGTGACATTTGTGGCTGCCCTGAGCCCTGTTCTGCAGCAGGGGATTTTAGCCATGACATAAATCCTTGCCTGCTGAGACCACGGTTCCGTCTCAGAATGACTGAAAGAATTAAACACAGTCTAAACTAATAGAGGGCCCAATGGGGATTTATGGGTCAGTAAGAAATGTAAATTTCATTCTTTTTTTCTTTAAGAATTTTTATTTTTATTGGTACATGATTATAGTACTTAATGATTATATTCCTTGTGGATGTTGATATATGAACATAGCACATCTTAATTCTTTTTCCATCCCCTTCTTCTCTTCACTCCTTCCCTCTTCCTCCATCTCTACATGTTTGTCTTATTTTCTTAGTTTATTAGCACATGTGGGTAGGGCATTATGTTTACAGTCCTTGTGTGGAGTTGGTCCATGTACCAATTCCTTTCTTCCATCCTTATCCCTTTCCTCCCTTCTCTTTCCATCCATCTCTTACTCAAGCCGTCCCCAGGCTACTGTTATTTTCCCAGGTGTCGGGCTGATGCTGTGTTCCATGTCAGGAAACTGACTCCAACCGAGCAGGCTTCTGGACTAGCCAGGCTGTGAGCACCAGGCCCACCTTCCTTGGTGTGCACTCTGATTGGTTATAGCTCATGACACAACTGTTGTGTGGGTTTTGTTCTGAGGGAGGAGGGCCTTGCATCTGGGTGATCATCTGCCTCAGTCTGCCTGGGATTTCCTGTTTTTGCACTAGAAGTTCCAGGCCCCTAGACAGCCCAAAGTCCTTTAGAATAGTCAGAGCATGTCCTTCCCTCCCCTGCCACCTCCCTGCCAGATGGAGTGTAAGCAGAGTACAGGCTGCCTACATCTGAATTCCGACCTGGGCAAGTTATGTCACCTGTGTGAAATGCGGCTGAGGAAGATAACTGCTTCACTGGATCACTTTAAAAATGATCAAGTAACAAACACGCATACACATAAAATCCCTCTTCAGCTCTAGCTAGGATTGGTACTGAGAAAATGTAAGCAATATTCTCATCACACATTCATCTGCAGAAATTTCTTGGAGTCAATGTCGCTTCCTTGGGGCTGGGATGGATGACAGAATCCCTCTGCTATCTACAGATGATCATGAGCAGGAGGCCTTTCTGACGGGGAGATGTGACCCTTCCTTTTAATATTTTATAATAGATATAACTCAAATGCAGAAAATAGCATAGAACAAATGTATAGCTTCAGTAATTACTCAGTATGGTGCCAGGTCTTATAACCAATACCGATGCAGGAAGATAGGAACCTGCCAGCTGCCGGGGCCATGGTCTCCATCACTCTGTCCAAACTCTACCCTTCATTCTCCGCAGTAGTGTTCTAATCCTTACCGAATCCAGAAATGTTCCATTCTATTTTTTTTCAGGGTAAATGGGTGGCACAATTCTCTTACTTCATCTAGAACACGGAAGGGTCTGTATTTTCTTTTGCTCTTGTTCTTTTTGTTTTAGAAGCAAGGGTTCTAAAGGACAGAGTCTCGTGGGAGGACTGGGTGTGTCATCCAGTGGTTGAGCACTTGCCTGGCAGGTGTGAGGCCCTGGGCTCTAGCCCTGGCACCACAAAAACAAAAGAATCTCACAGGAATTTGGGAATGTTACCTTCCTTTCTGTGGCTATGTACTCTATTGCCTGGAAGGATATGTTGATTTCAGTGTAAGTTGTTTAAAGAAAATAAACAGTAGTCACAGTGCATTAAAATCCCATCTGCTTCCTGTAAGATGGAGAAGTCATTACTGCCAAGTCAGGGGATCGCACGGCCACACACAGGGGGACAAAACTACCACTCCTCTGTCTACAGCCTTGCAGCTTGCAAAGCGGAAAGTCACCGCTAGTTCTCAGTAGATCGGGGCTTTTTGCACCTAGTCATGGGTTAAACAGTTGTTGTCATGAAACATTCCTAATACTATTTTGAATGGTGCCAAAAACAACATAGTACTCAGATCTGTGGTTATGGTGTTCATCCTGAGATCCAGAAGGGAGAGGCTGGTGGGTGTGGAAAAGGTCACTGGGACTTCAAGCTTGAGTCAGGCGGGCTGGGAATATCCATCCCTGGGGAGCGGGGTGTGGAAGGGAAGCAGGGCTTCATGGAGGCAATTATACACTGGAGGCGCAGCAGCTAGGAATTAAATCCAGGAAGCACAACTTGAAATTTGGCATACTGAGTCTATTAGCATGAACTTCATCTGCATAGAACAGAAACCCAAATAACAGTGGTTTAAATCCCGTAAAGGAAAATTTACCTCTGAAGGTATGTAGTTCTCAGCAACTATGTTGATTCCAGAGTTGTTAGGAACCTAGACCTCCACTTTTTTGCTTTGTTATCCTTATTAAGGAAGCAATAGCCTCAAGAACAACTTGTGGTCCACGGTGGCTGCTGAGACTCCAGTCATCACCTCTAAGAGTTCATGTAGGATGAGGCAAGGAAAGGTCAACTGATGCGCCCTACAGCAAGGTGTTCTTTGGGTGACCTCCGCAGAAGTTTTATTAGACAATTTCTGCTCCACTGAACTTGCCTAGCTGAAAGGGAGGCTGGGAAACATAGTCTTGGATCCTTGAAATAAAACTGAGATTCTTCTAGAGGGGCTGCCAGAAAGAATGAACAGGAAGTAGGGTAGCTAGAAATCATTTCCACAAGTTGAAGGAGTAACATATGCCTTGGTCAAGTGCTGAGTGTCTACAGACAGATCACCACATGTTGACTCTATCATCTACCAGCTGCACGATCAAGGACAAAATAGATAACGTTTCTAAAATGTGGCCCCTCATCTGTGAAATGAAGACAGTAACAAAAACTGCAGAAGTCTTGGGAGAGTCCGATTAACAACATAGATGGGGAGTGCTTCGTGCC